TGTGTGCTGTGTCTCTGTGCTGTGTGTGCTCTGTGTCTGTGTGTGTGCTGTGTGCTGTGTGCTGTGTGCTGTGTGCTGTGTGCTGTGTGCTGTGTCTGTGCTTTGGGACTGCGTGAGTGAGGGACATGCCTCTGCTGTGCTGCCTCTCAGCTGGTTGCCGTGACGGTGATGGTGACGTTGACGGGCTCGTTGCCATCGCCAGGGGGAGGGGCCTGTGAAGGAGGGGAGGAGCCTGAGGGAGCCTCTTCTGGAAAAGACAGGGAAGCCAGGAACAGAGTTGGTTCATGCAGGCAAGAGCCAGGTTCGGACATCTTATGTCGTGTTAAACAGCAAGTGTACGTTGCACCACAACAGTCTTTCGTATTTCGTGTTTACTGATTTCGCCCTGTTTTCCCTTCCTCACACATACATACACGATTCTGGACCATTCCTCTACTGAAATTGTAAACATTTCTTCATCTAACGGTTTCTGCTGACAGATCTGTGGTTTGTAGTGGCCTTGAAGCTTCACAGAGATCTGTTCAAGAGTGGCACTGAGCCACACCTGAGCCCGGCCCCTGAGGTCTGACAGGCTGTACCCCTGACCTCAGGTGACCTCAGGCCCGTGTGATCAGGGTCTGCCGGGCCTGTGGGGACCGAAGACGGCCACCTCTCCTCTCACCCAAACCGTCAGAAAGGGCCTTCACTAGAGTGTCCAAGGCTAGCTCCCAGTGGGGTGTGCCATTGTTCTGGGGGGGTGACGAACAGTCTCCGGTGGGGGTGCCCCTGGGAATTTACCCCATGTGTGCAGTGCCTGGCTGTGAAGGAATGTCTTCAGGACCATGGTGGGACACTGTCCTCGCCTGTTCTACCTCACAGAGGAGGCTGGTGGGACTGATGCCGCAGGCTGATTCCCAGACGGTCTGCTTGACCCGGGCTCACGGTGCCACCGCTGGCTCAGGCTGAGCGGGAGCCCGGATGACACCGGCGCCGCAGCTGGGCCAGTGAAACGAGCCTGACCTTCATTCAGGGAAGTGACACCATCGACTGCTTTAATGACAGACTGCCTAACCCTGAGCGTCCTCCGCTTCAGTTTCAGAGCAGCTCGGCTCGGGGGCCTGTCATCTGTCCTGGTGCTGGTGTGGCCACTGCTCAGAATGCACAACCGCTGTGCAGCTCGTGGAAATATATACTGGGGAATTGTGGCCATAACACTGTAAAATTAGATGTAAACATTTGATCTCTAAAGGTTGATCCAAATGTTGGATCGCAGTATTAGAAAAGCAGACTTTGAAGACATGAGGCAGAGCTCACAAGCTCTGAAATGGTTTCGAACTCAACAGGATTATTATAAATTAGAAACATGCCGTTACAGTCAAAAAACACATTCATCCCTAGAACAGGTCAAGGAAAATGAGAAGAAGGGAGAGAATAGATGAAAAATGAGAAAGAACAGAGTATTCTACAGTCTACAAGAGTTCAGCATGCTACAGGTACTTCAGTGGAGTTTAAAATAATGCAAAGCCATTTTTCATGGCCCTGTAAGAAAGGAACTGCAAAACTGTAAGTAAACAGCTCGCAAGATTAATGCTAGGAGATTAAAATGGTGAGTAAACCTGCTGAATGAATATTTCATGGTTTTACAAAAGATGTCTTTAACTTGCCCCAGCTTAAACAACAGAATTGAGTGACACTGATGCCTTACAGGAGCTAGATAGATCACTTTGCACACCTGAGATAGTTGATTACTTTCTGTTTTTTCCTTATTAATTCAGTCTGGGCGCAGTTATTGCTTGTAAGGAGCCATATCTGCATTCAAAGTGCCCACCAGAAATGTCAATTTAGGAGCGCGACACCTGGTGTGGCTCCACAGCTCTTCTCCTAACTAGGACAAGGCGAAGAGCTGTAGGCCTGCGGCGGCCCTAGTCAGGCAGCGAGCCCGTGTCGTGGTGGACAGCTGGCAGGCACCTGTGCTGGAGGCAGGAGTGTGGCCCTCTTCTCCCGCCTCTGGCCCCTGCTCATCCTCGGGGTAGCTTATGTTCTCCCTGGACTCCGCAGGCTGTCTGCAAGCACAAGCACACGCTGACATCACACACTGCCTCATGGAAGCACTGTTCTGCAGCTCTGTCCCCGTGTCTCTTGTGCACTTCCTCCTTCATCCCTACAGTTCTTTTCAGTTTTTTTCTGCCCTTCTGTCTGCCGTGTGCCGAGCTGTGTCCCCAGACACCCCCTCTCCCCCGCCCTACAGTGCTCAGCCTCCAGCTGTGCTCCTGCAGTCCAGATGTGCTGTTCCACTACTGACTGGGGCAGCCTCTGGGCCTCGGGCGTGCCCTCAGCGGGCACAGCATCCCGGTACTCACATGCCAAAGAACATGTTGTGCAGACCTGAAGAGACAAAAGCCAGGAGTTCCAGTTAGAGTCCTCCTCGGTTTCAGCTGTGCGAGTGCTACCAAAGGCCAGCTGTGTGGCTGTGGGTTCGAATCCCAGGTGTGCTGCTGCTCTTGCCCCTCTGAGCAGGACAGCGCGCTGCTGTAGAGGTGTGAGGCACTTTTCCTAAACGCTCCAGCCCAGGAAATGAATAAGACCTGAGAGTTCTGGCAGGGCCTGGGTACGGGTGGGCTAGAGTCATCTGTGCTTTGCTTGATGTCTTTAGACCGGGGTGACTGGTGCTGCTTCATTCTTCTGGTTTGTTTTGACCAGATTTTGACCAGTTGATAGTATACTAACTAGTACACAAAGAGGAGGGGAAACCGGAAGCTCTGTGCTCTGTGTGAAATATGTCTAACCTTTCGTCGTTTACCCTTGCTCTGAATTTTTACCTGATGCAAGGAGTTATGAATACAAGTTTATGCTGTATTATAAATAATCATCAGTCTGTTGACCTAATTATTGCTAGTGTCAGAGTTAAGAAATCTAGACACGCAAGCAGCAAGCTCTCAGAGGTTAGAGAGTTTAGAAACGTGTATCTGACATGATAAGGAGTGTTTTTTTTTTAATTGTAGGACTTCCTAGACCTTCTGGGATTCTCAGGCCACATTTAGTTCTGGAGAAGTGGCAAAGGTGAAATCCTGCCCTGTCATCTGCCCCCAGGGTGGACTGATTACTGAGTGAGTGTGTGTTTTTGTTTGTGTGGGTGTGTGTGCTGTACTCACGGGGGTTGTCAGCGCGGTTCCTGACGACGTACTGGAACACCAGCACAGTACCCACTGTGGCCACGATCATCCCCGCGATGGCTGCCCCAATGACTGCTGGGTAAGCATTGAACGGGGGATCCGCTGAAAGACAACATGTGACCTCCCTTTACTGCCATCCAACACACCTAGACCTCTGAGGAGGACAGCGCAGCCCGTCACTACACTATCGCAGGCCCAGAGCCAGTCTATACACACACTGCACTGACACTGACACAGGCCCAGAGCCAGTCT